CAACATGAAAAAAAATATTTTTACTGTCATTGTTTAGTAGAGACTGAAGATGCATCTAAAAGAAAGCCTTGGGTAGGAATACTGCAAACCTTGGGGATAACACACATCAGCACTACTTTTTACAGCAAAGAGTTAAACTCTAGCCTAGCCATTTATAGGGCAAGTTCACGCTGAAACCAGAAGAGTAGATTTATCTACCAGTTCAAAAACAAAGTTATAAAAGGTTACACAAGTTACCTAACTCCTTCTATACAGAGAAAGCAGTATTATAAAACTTTTCACAGATCCTTCTGAAAAGAGGTTAATATCATTACACCCATTTTACAAATTGTGCATTTATGACATAAAGAAGTACAGCAATCTATTAACAATGGAATAGGAATTTCAGCTTTTCTGAACAAACCATGTTTAAACTAGTATTAAAGTTGAGAACATGTATCAAAATCTTAAGGTGGAAAAATGCTGACAAGAACAGTATCTCACTGCAAGACAGAGATGAAATCCATGAAATTCAGACTTCCAGCGATTGAAAAGGTTTTAACATACAGGATTTCTCAGGGAAGGCACAGAAACAACCTTTACCCTTCTTTGTAGTGGCAATTTTAAACATTATCTATTTTTCAAAGATCAATTTAAACTGGACAACAGAAACACTGATGCTTGCTTACATGTGCACTTAGGATGAGGTAAAATAAAATTTGTTTATATACTTTAATGATATTCTTCCACATTTAACATGAGTCATCTATAAACCTCTGACATCCAGGAATCTCCAACTGAAGAGCAGTGATAAACATCACGTCATGTTACTGACACCTTCAGCCAGAAAACCGTAACATACAGATGCATTACAGAATAAAGATGATGCCTCAGCCACAAGAAATGTAACACTAAATTATCAGTAACAAGAACATATAAAAATCATTACCATCGTAACAACAACTACTTTCCTCACATTATATCTCTTTCAGTTTCACCTGTTTTACCCTGTAAGTAAGGCCACTCAAATCAAAAGAGCACTGACGAACTATCATCTTCAAAAAAAATAGTCACAAATTTCCCACAGAATCACTCGCTATTCAAGGAGTACTTTGAACAAGTTTCACTGTGTTTTTCATATCCAAAATGATGCTGAATACCTCCTTTAAATGGGAGGAGAAAATCACTTCTGTTTGATGATGGGAGTCAAATCACAGACTTCCATAGCTGCCAGTCTTCTCTTTTGCTGCCCATGATTCCTTGCCATTTTCTGTTCCAGAGGCTGGTAGCAAGTCTGAGATATGCCTACAGTACTTCATAGGCTTAATATTCATAAATCAGGCCAATACACTTGAGAAAATATTCATAAATCAGGCCAAGACACAAGAGAAAAAATTCTTGTGAATGTAAAGAATTGTTCATCCAGACCAGTCTAATTTTTTTCTTGAGGTATTGCATCTCTGACTTTCACAGGTATCACTGCAAGAAATTTACACATTGCATGGGCAGAAAGCTTCTTTGGGTGACCACCATACTTTTTCTCTCTTAATCTCCTTCCATTAGAGATAATCCACTGCTAAGCAATTCCTATAAAATTAAGAGTATGAACAGCTCAACTTACAGTACAATATTTCTTTCCAGTCCAATTAATGTTTTTAAGTTTCTTTGTATGTTCCCTTGTAATTACACTATGCCACTGACTTCTGAATATCAAGTTTTGTAGATAGCAGCATGTAAACAAAAAACACTTCTGTAAAGGAATGTGACTGTCAGACATCAACCCATTATTTCATAGAATCATAGAATGGTTTGGGTTGGAAAGGACCTTAAGATAA